AGGCAGGAAGGGTGGCCAGAGACTTAGCCAGTAAAAGTACTGCTGTGTAAGCCTTATAACCCGAGTTCTGTCCCTGGATCCCTTTGTGGAAGGAGATAACTGACTCCAGAAAGGCCATGACGCACACATGCCTTTACTTATATATGTGTGCATCAGACATTCACACTCACAAAATAACAATAAATAAAAAATCACCTTTGCTTGGGAACACAAATACAATCTTTATTAAATTCAAATGGTGAGAATCCAGTTACTATCATCACACAGTTTCTGATAAGCTAAATTATAATTCCTGTTGACTTAGAATTTCAGTTTGAACCACAAGCGTTTTGCTGACATTTCATGCTGAAGCTTTTGAGCAGGAATTGCCCGTCTCCTTGTGGTCCATACAATTTCCTCATAGCAAAAATGATTGAGTAATCACACAGCCTCAAGGAAGACAAAGAATGTGTCAGAATAGAAGGGAAAACCTGGCAGTATCTGACCGGTGAGACTTCCTTATAAAGGAATGCCTGAGATGAAACCTCAGTAGGGAGTCGAGACTGGCACATGAGCTGGGTTCTTGGGCTGAGATCAGTTGCAGCCATCAGGATTCTTCTTTATTTCATCCAACTTGCCTTGCTATCCTTAGCAAGCCCTGTGGCTCACAGAGAACTGAATAGAACTTCATAGTTTTGGGGGATGTGCAGTCCTACACACCAAGCTTGTTAATCCACAGATCACAAGTAAGTCTTGTCAAGAGCAGACTTGTACCATGCACCATGTTCCTCATACATTGCACCATCTTGAGTATCAGTTCTCTAATTTACAACAAAATTGACTTATTTTCGTTAATGTGTGTGGGTGTTCTGCCTGGCTGTATGTCTGTGTACCGATTGTAGGCCTAGTGCCCTCAGATCACCTGGAACTGGAGTTAGAGATGGTTGTTGGTCAATCTGTGGATTCTGGAAGTTGAACTATAGTCCTCTGGTGCTCTGGGAAGAGCAGTGAGTTCTCTCAGTCACTTACCCATCTCTCCAGCCTCCTTAGTTAGTTCTTTGGTTAATTGAAAATTAAACTGTCTTCTTCCTTGGATTCCATCATGTTAATTCATAACTATTGTATTCTTTTTTTTTTATGAAAAAGACTATGTGGGCCCAACAAGATGACTCTGGTAAATGTCAGTAAACACACTTGGGCCAAGCCCGATGACCTGACTTTGATTCCTGAGGCCTACACTATGGAAAGAGAAAACTGACTCTAGAAATGACTTTACTCATGTCTAGGACACCTGTATACCACCACCCACTACACAGATAAATACATAGGTAAAGAAATGTAATTTTAAAAACTGGTTTTAAAAGGATTGCTCAGAAGAGAACAGATCTTGAAATTTTTGTGTTCTTAGGAATAGTCGCTCTTTCTAGGTCCTGCATTTCAAATTTTGTACAAACCCAGTCCACTACTTGCCAGAATTGACATGGAATTTCAGCATCTTCCCCAGAGGCCAAAAAACTTCTTGGCATAAACCTGAAGGTTGGAAGACTCAGGGTAAAGGCAAACCACACAGCAGGAATTGTAGAGGTCAGAATAGGGCATGGGGAGTTTGTCACAAACCTGAAGGTTAGAAGACTCAGGGTGAAGGCAAACCACACAGCAGGAATTGCCAAGGTCAGAATAGGGTGTGGAGAGTGAGGAGGGAAAGGGGTAGACACTGACATGGCTTTGAATCAGACAGTATGGACATTTGTATTGGGGAAAGAGATGCGTGGTTTGTTTGACCTCTTTGTTCAATTCCTTTCACTGGGTGTTTGCAGAACACCTGTGCTGTGCTAGAACAAGTTATCACCCCTGAGCAAACAGAATTATGTGTGCACTGTGACTCACAGCTTGAAGTCTGCTGCCCTTTGAGATGCTATCTTATACTCTGTAAATTTAAGCTAGGCAGTCTCTATACCAGTTACTCAGTGCCAAAGTCCTGTGAGTGAATAGAAATGGGAGTATATGCTTGGGAATGCTTCAGCCCTGCAGTATGTTTTCCTGATGATTTTCTTTCCTTTCAAGCCTTATACCACCAACTCACACAAAGCTCCAGGCTGCTGACCAAGGATCCAATCTGGAGCATAACTAGTGTTCAGTCATTGCACAAATCCTGATTGAGTAGATACTATGTGCCAAGTACTCCTCTATGTCTTAGCAAGCAGTAGTGAATAGGCAGACAAAGTCCCCTGTACTCTGAAACTCCTTCATGCACAAGTAATAAGCAAAATGATTCTAACTAGTCATAAATAGGCAGAAAACAATTCTAATGAAACTCAATGTGAGGACTGGCCATGATTAATCAGGAATGGGCTCTCCAACATTGAAGCTCAGAGCTTGAGGAGGGTCCCAGCTGAGAGAACCACAGGCCCCTTGCCACTGTGGTGAAGGTACTCTGCTCCTCGTGCAGCTATCACAAGGACTGCGATGAATCACTCACACCTTTCCATAAAGGTGGGGCAGCCACTGGAGACAGGAGCAACATTGTGATTCAGTTTTTGGTGGATTGCTCATACTCCCAGGGTCCATCAATACCGTAGCCACACCTTAGAGCTGGGGGAAGGTCCTGTGTGACAGACAAGAACTCCTGAACAGACCAGCAGCCAGTCACAGAAACCAGCACACCCAGCAATCTAGCAGATACTGTTTACTGCCCTGGAGCACGTGGGGTTACACGCACTGGCAACTATAATCATTATCTACATCAGCAGGCTTAAGCCATGTTACTCTCACAACCCACCCCCTAACAATGACTCAATGACGTCTGAATGTTTTGCTTTTAGAAGCAAAAGATTCCCTTACTTAGATCATTTCGTGGCGAAAGGAAACTTTTGTTTCCTCATAGCTTATTTTCTTTTTAATTTTATTGCTTAATAAAACTGAAGCAAGTCTGTTAAATGTTACTACTATACAAGACTAAAATTTCTGACAGAAAATGTGTTCTTAGTATTTATTAACCCTTGAGTGATGTAGTTTCTGGAAGGGTGAATTTATTAATATCTTAAGATATTTCAAAGATCTGGAAATACAACTAAAATTTTTAAAAAGTGCTTAGGAAAAATTTTTACAATGTAGGAGAATGGTAAGTATGACTTATTTAGGGACTTATTACATAATTGAGAAGATATATATATATACATATATACATATATAATATATATTTGTGATACATGTCACCAATCTGTCATAGTATGCAACTACACAAAATTCAGCAGGGTTGTGAGGGGATACAAATACAAAGCACCATAGAGGCTTTGTGGATCAGCAGAAGAGTCAGTAAGCTGGGAATAGTCCATCTCAAAGAATGAGAAGTCTGGAGAAATGAAGAGTGGTGATGGTCTACCAATCAGAGCTGGACCCAGTTGGGTATTTTCCTGGGATCAAGCATACATGTGGGAACAGGCATCTATTGTTCACTTGGGGAGTGGTCGGGAATTGGTCATGCTGATCTTGCCCCAGGCCTCTAGTAGGCATGGGAAAGGCCTTGAACTTTAGGGGAATTCTGTAGGAGTTTTATCGACTGGTTTTCTGTGCGGATCAGTGGACTCTTGCACGTTGTTGATGATTTGCAAATGTTTATGCCATTTGTAATTTGAACAATGTCTTGATGGCTTTTAAGGTGTGTGGATGAATTTGAACACGAAGACTTCCAGAAAGCCTCCTTTGTGGTCACAGTCATTGCAGGGTCATTGAAAAACCTTAAAAAAAATAAGCAGTTTGAATCTTACCGAGCTCATATTCTTCTGTTTAAGAATACCATAGAGAGAATAACTTTTAATCTGTTAGTGTCTGTGTGGGTTTATTCTTCATGCTTTTCACCAAGAAGATGTTGAATCTAAAGTATTTTAAAAGTGCCCTTTATACTTCTTGTATTTACACTTATATTTTCATTATGTTGTGAAAATTGTACTCTAGAGTGGAACTTTTTCTCTCTTCTCTCTGTCTCCCTCTCCTCTTTTTGTGTCTCTGTCTGTTTGTCTCTTTGGGTTGAACGCAGGGCACTTATTAGGCACTATCTCCAGCTGCTCTCTGGTGGAAATTTCATCCCTCCCTGTTTGTTCACACATTCACTAAATCCAAAGTTCACTTTCAGTTATGGATTAACTCCCCAGCCGGAACTCCTGTTGGATGAAAGCATATTTCTGATGACAATAGACTTCTCTTTCTTTGTGATTTGAGTCACTCAAGAATGAATAATTTTGATGAGTGTAGAGACTACATTTCTGGATTAGTCCTATCTCTTAAAGAAGTGGCATGGTCAGATTTTTGGGCTACTATCTCAAGTGGAAGAATAGGATCCATTTTCAAATTGTAATGGATGTGAGTAGGCCCTGTTATGGCCAGATGGGTTCCTGTCTCCCAGTCTGGCTTTCCTTAGAAACAAAGGCATTATAGATCCAGCATTCTTCATGGAGATGCACTCAGAAGGACTGTATTCTTAACTTTTTCCCCTGAAGTTTTTAGTTCTTCGTAAAAGAAGAAGGAAGTGATACTGCTTGCAGTACTGGGTAATTAGGTTTTTCTAATGAATGTTGATTTTTTTTCATAATGTTGCTTGGCATGCTGTTATTTAATAAGCAAAGATTTCTATAAAACTAGTGAGAATTCCTTCATTTCCTCATTTTTCTGATTGTCAACCCAGTACCATATATATATATATATATATATGTTATTAGTTATTAGTTTATCCAGAAAGAATGCATTTCTGAACAGACAACTTGCCATTTGATGGGTGTATTCAAGGACCTTGATTGGGTTCAGAAATATGATGAGGCTTTTATTGGCCAGCTAGCAGGCTGCTGTGTATGCCGGGAAGTGAGTTCTGGATTCTAACTTCTACCAGGAGCCAACAATTTCCAAAGAGAGTGAAACAAGAGCATTTTGTTTTTAATTCCATGGATTTAAAATTGTGGACTGCAGCGAATTTGAGATTTTTCTAGAATATAGAATAACTGTGTTTCTTCTCTTCTTCTCTGCCATAGGTTAACCTCAGAGCCACTGATGTAAGGCTCATGCGACAGTTGCTCCTTATCAATGAGAGCATCGAGTCCATCAAGTGGATGATTGAGGAAAAGGCCACCATCACCAGCCGAGGCAGCAGTCTGAGTGGCAGCCTTTGCAGTCTCCTGGAGAGTCAGGATACTTCCTTACATGGTAGCTACAACAGCCTCCATGATGGCAGTGACGGTCTGGATGGCATTTCTGTGGGGAGCTACCTGGACACTCTGGCAGATGATGTACCAGGCCATCAGACCCCTTCGGACTTGGACCAGTTCAGTGACAGCTCCTTCATAGAGGACACACAGGCTCTGCACAAGCACCCCACATTGGATTCTGAGTACTACTGCTTTGGCTAATGACCTAGTTTTTTTGCATGGGACTGGTGTGCAATTAACTTGTATGTATCCTTCTTCTCTGCTGCTATATTTTTGGTGTGATTTATTTTAATAAGGCAACCTTTTTAAAGAAGCTTATTTTTAAACTGCTTAATAATATTTCTGTTGCTCCTAATGTTTCTCATCTAGACTGATTTATTTTTCTCTGTTACATCTTTATTTTTATTTATTATAATAAGCTTTCTCTCTTCTTCTATAGTAGCACAGATAAGTAGAGGGAAAAGAATAAGCAATAATTGTTTTCAAGCAAGGGGTCAGGGATTATAAGGAAAACTTTGCTAAATTTTACAATAAACCAAAGTCTAATAACTTCATTTTTGTTGCTTGTTTTCTTAAGTGCTTTGAGATTCCTATATGCTGGAAGATATTAAGATATTTTACTGCTTGCCTAATAAGTTGAACAAAATATTTGAACACAGACATTAATTCAAAGCCAGGCCATGTAAGTACATAATGAGCAGTACTCTCCATCATATTCATGGATGTGATTGACATTTGGAAGACCCTAATTGTGTAGATTTGGTTCCCTCCACTCTGCTGTTAATATTGTAGATTAGCCTTTTATAATCAACGAGTTTAATACAAATCTCAAGTTTATTTGTGTTACAATATGTATTACATTACTAGATTTCAAAGAACAGTGGACAGTAGTTTTTAAGGTAAGTATAGGCAGAGACAGATTTCCCTGGGTGGCTTAAGAGAGAGATCTTAGGTAGGACCATGTTGGTGGACACACAGTGAGGGGAACCATCTCAGTGACATAGATGGTGGAGACAGGCAGGTGGATGGGAAACCTTCCACAGGACAAAGATGACTACAATCTTTATAGGGGTTGAAATGACTACCACATATATATTAAGATCTGTCTCAAAGCCCCCTCCCTTCAGAAGTTGTCTTGTCTGGTCACAATGAAGCTGGGAAGTATAGTATGTCAATAGAAAACTATTTAAAATGCCCTAAATTTAAAGATAAGTTTGAGATCTATTGATATTTTCTTATACATTTTTGACATGATAGTAGAAGGTATAAACATGTACACTCAGATAGACAGATAGACAGGATCAGAACCCCCAAAATAATTTCTCACTGTTTTTAAAATGGTACCTGAATATATTTTCATTTGTGTAATGAGTCAAAACACTTAGTTTTCTTTTGGTATTTATTTCATTTTACTTTATGTGTGTGTGGGTTTGATGTGGATATGTGCACATGGACACCTGTGATTGTGGTGATCAACTACGTAAGGTACTCTGGAATTACAGGCATCTGTGAGCCACCCAACATGGGTGCTGGGGACCAAACTCTGTTCCACTGAGGGAGCAGCACAAACTCTTAACAGCTGAGCTATCTCTGCACCCCAGTTAATAGCAATGTATATTATCCATATATATAGTATTCCTATACATATTACTATTCCTATACATTTTTTTTCTTGATGATATCTAGTGAGGCAGTTTTATTAACATTTCAAAGTATCCTAAGGAATAATACATGTTTGGGCACTAAACTTTTGGCAATGTAAGTCAATAAGACCTTGCACTGCATCCAAGGAATGGCCTATTCAAGAAATATTTTCTTTCTGCATATGCTCATTATATGCTTGTCACCTTATTGTTCGTTTCTAAGACATAGCATTCAGTTTCCAATTAAAAACTGTCAGGTCTTGTATTTTACATTATACATTTTTCACATTAAATGTTTATAGTAGTATCACAACAGTCTCAGGATGTGAGGACTGACACCAATTTATGTTTAAGGAAACTGAGGCACATAGAATATAAGCGATGGATTGGGAGGTAAGCATCCCCCAGTGTCAATTATAGGGCTTTAATTGGGCTGAGGTCTCTGTTGCTCTTAAGGACTATACTCACTAACAACCATACCCACCTTTTTAAAAAAAAACAAACAAACAACTATTTGTTGACATTAAATAACAAAATGTAGATTAGAGAGCAAATATAAGTCCATAATTATAAAAATCATTGTGCCCAGGTTTCCCAATGTGAAGTACCAAGCTCTTTCTTGAAATCACATACCTAGAGAAGATACTTAAAAGTTGGCCACTTGGCAGTTCTTCCTCATCTAGTCCCTTCTTTCTGAATACTTTTAGTTTCAATTTAGTAAAGGATGTTTGATTGGCTGTTTTCTTTAGTTTCAATCTGGAATCAATGCAATAATTTTTTATAGCATAGATTGTTTATCAGACTCAAGAGCATGCATTGTGGCTCAATAGAGGACACATCCTTCAAGACAAGGCTGATGACTTCAAGCAGAAGGCAAGGAACTATATAACCATATGTCCACATTATGGTGAAGAGAATACCTTAACAAGAGTGAAGTTGGCAGGTAGAAATAGAAGAGACGGAGCAAATTCTAACGTCTTTAAATCCCAACATTTGCCTAGAACAAGCTCTGCACCATCAAGTTGCTGGTCTCAGTACAGCTTCAGACTTTGAACTCAGTCCGACAAATTTCTTTTATACATTCCTTGTCAAATGAACTTCTCAAGCTAGTTGTCCATATTACCTGTGAATATTCCTTCTTTTAAGCACAATGTGAGAGAAATACAAGGAATGGTTTTTATTTAGACATTTCATTTTAAAGAACCTGGTAGGAACAGTGACAGAATAGTTTAGGTCATTTTTGTGCCCCATTTGCAATGAGTTTCAATATTTTATAATCTTAATACTTACTTCATTTTCTTTTCTTTTGAGACAATATTTCTCTTTGTAGCCCTAGCTCATCTTGGAACTTTCTCTGGAGGCTAGGCTGGCCTCGAACCTGGAAATCCACCTACCTCTACCTCCCAAGTGCTAATATTAAAGCTGTGCACTACTGTACCCAGCTTCCTTTTTTTCTTTTTCAAAAGCTACACATATTTTATGGCTTAGATACTAGAATCACTTAGCAGCAACAGTGTCTTTGCTAGGGGGGGAATATGTACTTAAACATAGTTTCTCAAGAACAAATGCATAGAAGTGCCTTGTTTTCAACAAAAGAATACTATTACCAATATCTTATCTTGAGCTTTTGATATTAGGAAGCAATGTTTTCCAAACTATTTTGCCTACACTGAGTTCATCACAGAAATCAGAATGTGCCTAGGTTACCTTAACCCAGTTTATGAACTTGTTAGTCTTTAATATAAGTGAAATAATTGAACAAAAGAAATTCAGGCAAGCCAATGCTAATATAGTTTTGGCACTATTCTCCACTATATGGGGTCAGAGTTTAAAGTTCTGGATATTCTTCAGCACACAGAGACGCAGCACAGACTCTTTGCAGTTGTTAGGATTATAAGGTGTTTGGATCACAACAAATAACTTTTCTTAAAGCATTTGTTTCCACAACTCCATCAAAACACAATCATATCCACAATGATAAAAAATGACAATTTGGAGATAATGAACCTACTAACATATCAGCAGTAGTTGACACATTTGGTCACTCTTTTTTGAAAGTTTGTCTTCGCCTGGACCCAGAATGCCACTTTCCCCTTTTCCCATGCTGCCTGGTTCTTCAGACTCCACTGTTGCTACCCCTTCTTCTCTTTTCCTGATCTCCAAACCTCAGTGTGATGGTCTCTGTTCTTTTCATAAATATCATTCTGGGGGTTTTATTCAATGCCACAAGTTTTACATGACCTCTACTTGCTGAGATTTCCAAATATATACCGTATTACACTGTCTCTTTCTAGAACTCCACTCTCCCAAGTCCATCTGCCTGCACAGGTTCTATACTAAACTTCTGATAGGTAACTCATTCTGAATGTATCCAGAAATGTCCACAATCTTCCCAAATTAAGGAAGTGGTACTTCCTTCTTGTCAAATTCTCAGCCCAAATTCTAGTCAATCTTCGTTACTCTCTTCACACAGGATCCAGATTGTATGCGTTCCATCTAGATACCTGGCATCTAATCCAAATCCTTATCAATGAGTATAAGATACTATGCAATCTGCCATGCCACTCTTCTGTTCCCTAACCTCATCTTCTGTCATAGAGCTTATCTTTCATTGCAGAACTTTTGTTCTCTAAAGAATTTCAAAAAAATATTCCAACCTCAGAATCTTTGTACTTTTCATTTCTTTCCGAAGGGTTTGTTGCAGGCATCTTCTTCTACTCCTATAGTTCTCTGTGGTCTCTGATCAAACAGCACTTTTCATAAAAGCACTTCTACAGAAGTCCAGAACTCTTTGCATTTATTACACATAGTCATTACCACCACACAATTCTCATTTTTGTGTGCATTCTTTACTTTTCTAAACCAAAGCTAATGGTTATGGGAACATGATGATATTTTATTCACTATTTCCCATCACCTACAAGAGTATTTTTCATGTAGTAGATACTTTAATTGAAGCACTTTTACACATTTGCTCAATGTGTTCTGGAAGCACCCCGCAATGTCTATGCTATGTTGGAGTGATGCAAAACATAAGTAAGATGTGATACTGCCATCATTGAGACCACCTGACTACTATGTTTCTCTGCAATGAAGAAAAATGTCCTTACTTCTAAAGCTAAAAACATTTATATCTTAATTTGTGAAGCCTCTGAATGGGTGACCTTGCATGCCAAAGGAACTTTGAAGATGCTATGAAGTTGAAGACCTTGAGAAGATGAATGATGGTCCTGGTTGACCCAAATGGTGCTTTTTAAAAGGGAGGGTAGATGAGAAAGATTAAAAGTATTGTAAAATATGATGCTGCTAACTGGTAGGCCAAAAGTGGCGATGAACCAAAGTACATGCAACAAAGAATAGTCTGTTTTCTGCAGTGCATATTTTCTTGACAAGTGCATCAGCCTTACAGTATCTCTGTGTAATCACAGTTATCATTGTTTGATGTTTGGTAAATCATTTCCATTAAACACTAATATTCTCACCTATCATTTCGGGTTATTTTGTGTAGCTTAATTAGTCCAAGGTCTAGTTGAGCCAAACCAGAGCCAGCACTGGAATTGCATCTATCTGTATTTGATCACAAATTAAATTCCAAACATTTCCCAAAGTTGGCATTTCTTCAAGTCCTTAATAGCATGTACAGAATCTGTTTATCCAATGTGGCTGTGACATTTCATTATTTACCCATGAGGAGCCTGCACTGCCAGGGCAATGCATATATTCTTGATTTTAGATTGTTCTCAGAGTAATTTACAACAATTATTTTTACATTAACCAAATCCACCTATAAATCAAATAGACTTCTGGCACTGAGCTCTGCAATTTCCCCCTGGTGCAAAGGAGGGTCTGAGGAGTTGAAAGATCCTCCTTTTCTTTACCCATGATGTGTTTCAGGTTGTTGTCCCTTGGTT